CGTAATGTCATATTTGGATAAATACAACATCCTGAGTGAGCATCAGTTTGGATTTCAGCGCGGCAATGGTACTGGGGATGCCATCTTCAACTTTCTCGAACATCTTTACAGGAGGATGAATGTTGGCGATATTGCTGCGGCGGTATTCTGTGATTTATCGAAGGCATTCGATTGCGTGAATCACGGAATACTACTCAGGAAGCTGGAAAGGTATGGATTTAGGGGCAAGTCCTTGAGATGGTTTGAGTCCTATTTGTGTGATAGAGTTCAAACAGTGTCATTTAATGGTGAAAATTCTCGGGAAGGGAAGATCAATGCTGGTGTTCCGCAGGGCTCTGTTCTTGGCCCCTTACTGTTTTTACTATATGTCAACGATCTGCCACATGTTCCTATAAAGGGGGCCTTTACTATGTTTGCTGATGACACAACTATTTTGTGGCATGGTGTAGATCTGGCAGCGTTAACCAGCAGCATTTCTCACGATCTGTTGGAAGTTAAGAATTGGTGTGTGATTCTAATTTTCTAAGTTTTAATGCAACAAAAACAAGCATTCTATCTTTTAAATGTGTTGTTCAGGGTATTTCTATGGATGCTTTACCACTCCCAACTTTTGAATTTAACCGATTTCTGGGCCTAACCATTGACAGTTCCTTGAGGTTTGAGGAACATATATCTAAGGTATGTAAAAAAATTTCTTCTGGATGTTATGCCCTTAAGGTAATAAGGCACAATTTAGGTTTCGCTATGGCCAGAAATTCGTACTATGCTATAATAGAACCCCATCTTCGCTACGGCATCGCGTTTTGGGGTGCGTGCTCTCAATATTTATTTACCTCAGTATTTTTACTGCAAAAGAGAGCAATTCGTTATCTCTGTGCTGCAAAAGTCCATGACTCCTGCCGTGGTTTATTTGGCCAGTGTGGAATATTAACCCTTTGCTCATTGTTCATCCTGGAGACTGTAACTTTAATTTTTAAAAAATATAGGAATGAACTTAACCACATTGGACCATATCCGACCCGTCATCCTTTCTCATTGAATCTTCCAATACCTCACTCTCAACTTGTTAAAAGGTCCTTTTTATATGAGGGCAGAAAACTTTTTAACCATCTGCCCACAGAGGTTAGGAGGATTAATTGCTTGAAAAAATTCAGGAGAGCGGTAAAAAGGGTATTAGCACCTGGGGCATATTATACTTTGGCTGAATTGTATGAGAGTGTTCTTGACTGATATATAGTATAGTGTGTTTTCTGTCTGGATATTTTCAGTTTATTGATTTTGTCCATTTATATGCATGTATATTGTAGGTCTTCTTTATGTATTATTATTAAACTTTATGTTGTATTGACTAGTGTTTTAATTTTAACCTGCATTGTTAATTTATTATTATTTATGTCTTGTATTTAACTACTATTTTTTTTTTGTTCTCTTTTACCAAGGCTTTGTAACAACTAAGGTTTATACAATAAAGCTATTTTTGACTTGACTTGACTTGATTGATATTAATAAATAATTCACCCATGAAAAATACCAGATGCTTTTCAATAGCTGAAAAAGTGGGGATGGGTGTCAACTTCCAAGAGAAAATAAACGAACCTTCCGCGTTAGCTTTTTGTCTGACAATCGAGAGAATAAAAGGTTTTGTTGTAAAAATAACCAGTTGAAAAGTCGCCAGACGAAAATCACAGTTCGAAATTGAGTTTTCCGGCAAAACGTTCTGTGAACATTTCGAACAGGGGGCAGGTATTAAAACCACTTATATTCTCATCAGCTAACTAGTCACATCCCACCCTCAAAACGCCAGACAAAAAAAAATTACTCCACTAAACATGCCCTATCTCAGGGTTTATTCCATAAGGACATCGCAATCATGGAAAAACGATATCAGGGCAAGTGAAATGTTGCCATGTTGGCGGAATATTGCTGGACTGTTTGTCGGGATGTTCCAGAAGCAGAATATAAGAGAGCAGCGAAAAAACCATGTCGCCATTCCGCAAATGAGTAAAAAATGTATAGTTTCTGTTAATTTTTTGAAAAAATTGATTTTTTTTTCTACGAAACTAAAACTAATTTTGAAATATTTTTATCATTATGATGTTTATCAGGTGAAAATTAATAAAAAAAAGTTACTTTACGCAATAAATACTACTAAGAATTTGTAGACCGAGTGTAATAAGAAGCCAGTTTAAAAAACTTAGTTAAAAAAAATTAAATCGCGTTATTTAATAATATTGTTAAATGTTAAGTGTCAAAATTTAATTATTATTAAGTTTATAAGTGTTTGACTATATTTAATTGTATTAATTTAAACCACTCATTTACAGATATTATTTCCGTATTTTTCCTCAACAGAGATTCCACGCCAAACTGTTACTTTTGGGGTATCTCGCTATTCTCACTGGAACTTGTTAAGTTCTCGTGGAAAATTTATTTTAACTTAGTTGATGTCCAACTACACACACATTTAAAAATTGTTTGCCATAGTGATAGCAAGTACATACCTACAACATGAAGCTGCCATGCTTATGCTAAAATACCAGGATTTAGATTTCAATTTTTTACGGCTAAAACTTTAAGTTTCAGCATGACCTTTTTTTTTGACGTTGTGATATACAGGGTGTTCCATTAAAGATAGTGGAGAATTTCGATGTTGAAAAACGGATGTTTTCTACTCGCCCTGTATGAGAGGCAAGAAAATTTGCAACCTACTTGAAAAAACTTTAGGCCAGGAGAAGTCGAATGGCGCAAGCCGCAGGTCCCTAGCACAACTAGTTTAGAAGTTATAAGCATTTCAAATGGTTCACTCTCGGCTGGGACACCCTGTATGTGACAAAATTTGATAGTGTCTGCCAAAATTGTGCTGTCAAATAAAGCTTCTGCCTATTTGAATTTTGAATACACTAGAGCTGCTCTAACGCTTTCACGAATATCAGCTATTATCAGTATTTTTTACCATAAATCAACTTGTCATTATTCCAGCGTCTGCCAAAAAAACGCTGCCGTCTTTTTCGTCTGCCGATATTTTTTCTGAGAGTATGTTAGTAAAGGAATCGATTTGCAAAAAAACAAAATTTGATAAATGTCGTTCACTAAAACTTGAAAATTACAAATTTGACAGGCGTCTTCCGAAGTAATGCTGTAAAACAAATCGTCTGTCTGTGTAATATTGATAAGTCCTCAAACTGTTAATTCGTTTCCGAAAATTTCGATCTTGATCAATATCGTTCACCAAAATGAAAATTCACCCCTTTTTAAAATTTAACCCCCGATTAAAGCTGCCACCCTGAAACGGCAAATGGTCAGTTTTGGTATGTCCAGGTAACCCTCAATCATGATTAATTAATAAAAATTTTGATCAATATCGTTCACCGAAAAACCTGCCAGCTCCTATACTATAAGGTTAACTGTGCGTATGAACTTAAATCCGTGGTGGTGCGGTGCGCTGCGCTGCTTTTGATCAGGATTTCAGAAGTAGTCACCGATAATATTGCAGTCAAGGCTACCTGCTAAACCGCTAGCTGGAACGCTGGTACCAAATCACTGCGTGATTCAGACTTATGATATTGAATATTAGGGGAACAGAAAGAAATAAAGATTTTTGTTTGAGTGTTTAAACTTGAAGCGTTATCGCATTTTTGCGACATTAAAATACGGCTACTATTTTGTACAATGAATGCTTTGAATATTGTTCGCTATCAAGAGTATTGAAGCAATGCGTCATCGCAACCGAGGTAGAAATTTATTTGTTTTTTTTGCCCATACTGCTGTGGGTTTTTGTTGTTATTTACCTACTTCTGTATCTAAGAAACTCAAACTGCAAATATATTTTTTTAAGCTGTCATATTATATTTTTTACGCTGGTCAGTAAGTACTTATTTCTGATGTGGACCAGGGTCCTTCTATACTGATTATCTAATTGACAGAACTTTAATTTGGACTCGGACAGAACAGATCAACCACAAGGCCATTATTGGAGCTTCTGGAGTATGTAGTTGAGGGTTTTGAAAAGGGGTTGCACGTTGGTGCAACATTTTGTGACCTTTCCAAGGCCTTGTATATAATTAATAATAATAAATATTTTATTTGCCTGAAAATATAACAATAACAATAAATTACTTATTTCGGAGAAAAAGAAATTCATAGCAAATAAAATAAAAACAACCCACTAAAGGCATTCCTTGTGCGTGGGGTCTTTTCATAATACTTCCCAAATTTCCTTAACAGGCTAGAACCTATCTATAATAATTTGTTAGTATAAGTTAATGACTTCATCTAATAAGGGTTAAACTTATGGCGACTGGACAATTTTTTTTTAAATTCAAATTTAAATTCAACTAATGAAACTTTTTGGTTTTTAGAGATTAATTATACCTATCTTAAGACCAAAAAATATCAATAAAAGGACTATAACAAACATAGATTATGGGGTATATTTGATAATAGGTACAATTTAATTTTGTTTCCGTTATAATTTTTTTTGATTAATTGATCCTTCGCTATACAAAATATTATAGTTTTTTATTCTATGCAACGACATGTCGTGTACATGCCATGTTTTGGTGAGAGCTATAATATCAAAAGTTGACTATTATCTTCAGATCATCCAAGTTTTTGTTTATGTTTCGTATATTGCATAAAAGACTGGAAATATGTGTTGTCTTTTCAATTTTCTTTAACTGGTTATTATATTCCTGTGCATTTTGTACCTCGTTTGTTAATATTTTATCAATATTGTAGTCCAATATAAAAGAATTCATGTTTTTATTATTTATCTTGTGGACGACCGTAAATTTATAATAAACAGGTAAATCAAAGTAGTAAACCCTAAATTTTTTTTATAAAAATACGCTTATCTATCAATATTTCCAGTTTAGGCAAAAATTTCAAACAATCACCAACAGCAAAAAAATAAGAGAATATGGAAAGATGTGAATATACACTGCTTAAGTTAAGAAACATAAAATAAAACTGTTTACTGATTTTTCAATGTTATAAATAATCTATTTTCTAATGTTAGTAGAGTTAGTAGCAGGTGGTGTTTTTAGACCTAAGTTTAGAGACCGTAGCGCCTCAGTGCGCGACGATTTTCTTACAGCGGGTTCTTTCTTCTGTTTTTCTCGTATTTTCTTCTTGTCTTCTTTGCCAATTTTCGATGAACTTTCTTTTTCTTCTCCTTTTTTTCCAATAAATACTTTGTCCTCTAGCCTTTCCGGTATTTTGTTATTTATTTTAACTGTACTTTCGAACTCTTCTAGTTTGTCACCGTCTTCGATAGAGAATTGTCTAGGACGTGCGTTGGGAGTTGGTGGAGCACTGTTTGGTTTATTTAAGTTTTGTATTTCTGTTTCTTCTTCTTTTTGTAATTCTTCCGCTGTATAGGCTTGACCGTTTACTACGAGCTGATTGTTTTTTATGTAAGCGTTCAATTTTTGCTCTTTCGCTTCTTTCAGATGTTTACGTAGTATTTTATTTTCTTCTCTTTCTTCTTTGCTTAGGTCTTCCGAAATACTAACTCCTGTTCCTTTGAGTTTCTTACAATTGGTCAGTATCTCCCTACTCTTTAAGAACGATGTTAATTTTACCAAAATATGCCTTGATTTTCCAAACACACAAACGTTATCTATGTCGGATGTACCTAGTTAAGGTAACTTCTAGTAGAGAAACTATTTTCGTAAGGACGAACTGGGGCAGATCTTCTTCTGGTGGTGTTAGTCCAAAAATAACGATGTTGTTTTTCTTAAGCTGTTTTTGAAGTTGATTATATTTTTGATTTAAATCTTCGTATATTCTTTACCACCTCGATTTCCTTCTGAATGTAATCTTTTATAGTTTGGGTCTGTTTGGCGTTTGCCTCCTCAAAAACTTTTTTGTTGGACTGTTCCAAATGCCTGGTTAGTGTGAGTAGGTAGTTGTTCCTCATTCATTTTTTAAAGTTGTGTTGAGCAGTGTATAATAGACATAGAATGAGGTTTTGTGTGGTGAAACTCAATCTTATTGATATTTTTGGGGTAGCTTTTAACTTAGAGACTTACCCCTTTACTCAGCCTTTGGGTGCAACTTTTTTCACAACTTGGTATAATTTTTAAATATTTTTTCTGCTTTTTACTAGGCCAAACAACGATTTTATTGAGAGCTCATGTGATGCGTGCGATACGTTCGAAGCGACTGCTATGAGATTTTTTTTCAGAATCTTAGATTTTATGGTTTACGTAAGCAAAACCTTGCAGTTTTTCAAATTTGAGACCTAACCAGAAAATCTGTGTGTGGTTGGTCTGAATAAGCGATAAAAAAATTGACCAGGGTATTTCAACCTTGAGCATGTTTCATGTTTATGCGGGTCAATGATTCAATGTTGACGGATTGAAGCTCAATTTGAGGAAGACTGAGGAAATGCTGTTTTCACTGAGCAACACAGAATGTACTAGTAGGTAGGTACTGCTGGAACTGAAACAATGAGGTTTCTGGGAATTCACTTGGATTCTGCCTTAATCTTTGACAAATACTCTGAGATATCAGAATCAATAAATATATCTTTTTAAAAACTTGAAAAAGATGGTCGAAAAACATCGATCTTCCCTAATCCAGTCAAAGCTGCAAATTATGGTTTGTTGGCATAGGGTTAGGCTCCTTAATTTGAAAGAATCTTTAAATTGCAAAGACGAGGAGTAAGATTCGTGGCAGGCCTTGGGTACAGTTAAGTACAGGGAAGATGTGAGGAACTTCTTCAAGCGCTTGCAAGTAGGTACCTACTCATCTTTTCTTCACGTTACATCTTTGAATATGTCTTGTATACACAAAAAAAACCTAGGTAGGTGCAATCAATTATGGAATTTACATAACACAAGCTGACAATTTACAAATGCCTTTCTAGACTAGAAATTAATGTTTTTTTTTTCTTTATTGAGTAGGTAGGTATTAAGTTCCACCTGCCAATATCCACTTCTCAAGACCAGAGTTGAAAACCACTTCGATCATGATGTATAGTGTTGCGAGTATCGGGAATCCAGAGTTATTGACTTTTCCATTTTATTTCAGAGCCCTGATGATGATTTAAAATAAATCGAAACGTCGGCTTTAAGGAAACTGTGTTTCTTTTAGAATTTTGATCCTAAACTCAACTTCGGATAAAAAAAATGGTACTTAAAAAAATGCATCTTGCTATATAGTATACAGGGTGGCCCATTTTCCATGTTTTAATATGGGCTATATCGTAAGCCAGCAAATATATCAAAATTCTAGGAGCACATGCTCGTGCTCTTTTTTTTTGAGAAAATAACAATGGCGAAAACAAAACACGGCTAACTTGATACGTTAAGGAAATACATGGCAATTTTCAAATTTTGTCCAATTTCAAAAGCCCTTCTAATTTTTTCAGTAATTAAGATATTAAAAAACGAAAAATACTTTCTATAGGCAGTTTTTCAAGTAGAATCCAGTGGCTTGACCAATTTTTCTCCAGATGCCACCGATTTTGGAATATTAACCAGAGCTTTGTTTTTTCTAAACAGGACACACCGTATAGTATTTTTTTATCGCATAGCTCTTTTTGAGGGGATTTCAAATGATCTAAGGTTTTATAGTTTTGCCTTCAATAGTTTTCGAAAAATAGAAATGGGTATCTTAATTAATAAAGAAATTAGATGGCCTTTTAAAATTGAACAAAATTATAAAATTGCCCTGTATATCCTAAACGCATCAAGCTAGCCATGATTTTTCTTCGCCATTGGTATTTTCTTAAAAAAAGAGCTCGAGAATGAGCTCCTAGATTTTTAATATCTCTGCTGGTTTTCTATATAGCCCATTAAAAAACATCGGAAAAGGCCACCCACTACATGAATGCCACATTTCATAAAATATCTAAAGAGGTGTTACAGATGTTAATAGTAAATTATTTATTTTTGAAAAATGGAAACTTTATTCTCACACGTTCCTTGGAGCAAATTTAAGCATTTTAACTAATTCATGGCGCACTAGATTAAAAAGTAAAAATTTGAACAATTTGGAGTTGAAATGTCAAAAAGTAATAAATGAGGGGTCATTTTACTCCTAATGTAGTTTTCTATTGAAATAAGGGAAAATATACCTGGCGTCTCATTTATTCAAAATAGGAAAGTTAGGGTTACTTCCGGAGAAACCGGAAGTGATAATAAATAATTGAATACGTCAAATAATGCACATCCGGGTCATAAATAAACACACCAAATTTCATTTGTTTATTTGTAAAAATAAAAAAGTTATAGGGGTAAGCGGGTTTTGAAAAACACTCGGTATAGTAATATGCGCCCAGGTCACCTGGAAGTGAACTTTGCTGGACCACGATACCTACAACTTCTCGTAGGATAACAAAAGCTCAAAGACATTTAACATAGTAATTCAAATCAGACATCTAATTGATTTTCTCTCTGGATGGGACGGTATCTCAACTAGGATATTTTTGAATCTTCCTGACTTTGCTGTTGATGTGCTTGCGAAATCCATCAATAATTCTTTTCTTAACGGAAGTTTTCTCTCATTTTTGAAGCTAGCTCGGGTAACACCACTGTTTGAGGGGATTGATAAGGATTTACCATCTAATTACCGACCAATATCCTTACTGCCAACTTAAACTAAAATTGTAGAGAGGCTAATTAAGGTGAGGATGGTGAGATTCCTTGATAGACATAAATTGCTTGCTCCGTCCCAGTTTGGATTTCAGCAGTTAGAAAACACTGAGGATGCCATATTTCATATCCTGGATGAGCAGTACTTGTAGACCGTTAGCCAATGACAGATTTTGCTGACCGATTTTCTCTCTTCGGGGATTTCAACCACTGAAAATTATGTCAGTGTTGAGCTGAAAAAATGAAAATTTAGCGACCGGACGTCTGCTAGGCATATGGAAAATTTACTTTCCTTCTGTAGCAGCCGTAAAATATACTTGAACAACTGACCGGCTTATCGGATTTTTTTGTCTGGCTCCTAACGATATCAAATTTGATTCTGTCGATTGCCATAAGCTACTGCATTGGAAGCTAGTGGTTTTGTCAAAAGAAAAGGCTTTGGAAAATCACAATTTACTCATTTAACTCTGGATAGTGGCAAAAAGATAAATGTTTGTTTTGCAATATTCCTAGACATAAATTATATAACTGCAAGCAATTTGAAACTGTATCGGTAAGTGATAGAATTTTTTTTATTGATAAACATAAATGTTGCAGGCATTGTCTTAATGTTCATTTTGGAAAATGTAAGCTAAGAATAAGGTGCCAGACTTGTTCCAGAGACCACAACAGTTTGTTGCATTTGGAAACATCGGGAGGACATCAGGTAAAAGTTGTAAACTCTTATAACCTAAATAATGATAATGTCTTTCTGCCAACTATAAAGGCTGAAATTAAATTAAAACAATTTCATGGTGCGGTGCTGGGTGCGTTAAGTTGGCCCCCCCCAGTTGTTATTTTTTAATCAAAATGCTAGCACAGCAGGGTTATAGCTAGCACAACCTAGCACAACCACTGGTTGCGCTAGCACACCCACAGGAGGAATCACATAAACGTCTCCTGAAATCGGGGGGGGGGCAACTTAACGCTAGCCCCCCCCCCCCGCAGTTAATATTTTCTACCCAAAATGCTGGCACACCAAGGTTATAGCTAGCACAACCTAGCACAACCACTGGTTGAGCTAGCACACCCACAGAAATCACATAATCGTCTCCCGAAATAGAGAGGAGTCTGGGGAACAGACAGGCGGAGCTTTGTAATTCGTGATAAGTGCTAGCTAGCCTTTGTTCGTATTTGTGGGTGTGCTAGCTCAACCAGTGGTTGTGCTAGCTATAACCGTGCTGTGCTAGCATTTTGAATAAAAAATATCAACTGGGGGGGGGGGGACTTAACGAACCCCACGGCGCACGGATTTTGGAGATAATGGTCCCGGGTTCGATTCTCTTTGAAGGCAATACATTTTTTTTTTTCAGGTTTTTTTTTTCTTTAGGGTTTTCATTTTTCTTTCAAAGATTATCAAGAGGATGGGTTAGTTTGGGTTAGCTAGCGTTAAGTTCCCCCCCCCCCCCCCCCCGATTTCGAGAGACGACTATGTGATTCATGTGGGTGTGCTAGCTCAACCAGTGGTTGTGCTAGGTTGTGCTAGCTATAAGCTTGGTGCGCTAGTATTTTGGGTGAAAAATATTAACTGGGAGGGAGGCTAGCATTAAGTTGCCCCCTTCCCCCGATTTCGGGAGACGATTACGTGATCCCTGTGGGTGTGCTAGCTCAACCAGTGGTTGTGCTAGGTTGTGCTAGCTATAAGCTTGTTGTGCTAGTATTTTGGGTAAAAAATATTAACTGGGGGGGCTAGCGTTAAGTTGCCCCCCCCCCCTCCCTTCGATTTCGGGAGACGTTTATGTGATTCCTGTGAGTGTGCTAGCTCAACCAGTGGCTGTGCTAGGTTGTGCTAGCTATAACCTTGGTGTGCTAGCATTTTGGGTGAAAAATATTAACTGGGGGGGGCTAGCGTTAAGTTGCCCCCCCCCCCCACCCCGATTTCGGGAGACGATTACGTAATTCCTGCTTTGAATATAAAACTACAGGAAGGAGCATAACCTCGAATCGCGACCAGAAAATGTGGAGGTTGCATATGGCCGACTAGTGTTTCCGGTTT